GCTAATCTACATGCCTCCGTCGAAGGAGGCATGTAGTCTAGACACACCCTTATTCTATAAGGAATAATGCTTATTTCGAAATAGGGTGAATATGGTCGCTCAGCTGTAATTATTTTGAAATAATTGGCCTCCAGGGCTTCTCACAGCTGCCCTGGTGGCCACTTTGTCCACACCCCTCAAAACTCTATAGCTTCCCATATCCTGCAGGGTTTAAAGCTGCAGACAGAAGGAAAAAGGCTTGTGGCATGACACGAGCCCTGCTAGCACCATGCCACCCTGCAGCATCCTGCTGCCATGAGTGAACCCAGCACTCCCTCTGGGCCTCACATGGCTATAAGCACGCCGGCAGCCATCTCTGAAATCCCTGGCCAAGGCAAAGAGCGCACCATCCTGGACTGGTGCAGAGATCCTGAATCTCATAGGTTTGGGGGCGAGGAGTAAAACCTCTAGGATCTCCACACCAGGTGCAGGAACACAGATGTCTACAGCTGGATGGCTGCAAGCCTGACCCAGAAGGGACACACCCGCACACTAGACCAGGTACGCATAAAAATCAAGGAACTGTGGCAAGCCTGCACCAAGGCCAGGGAACAGAATTCCTGCTCTGGAGTGGCACCCCAGACATACTGCAATTATGAGCAGCTGAATGGCATCCTGGGAGGAGGGTCGGTCACCTCCCCACCTTTGTCATGGACTCTAGCCTAGTCATGGCCATTGTCAGCTTCAAGGAGGGCAGGGCTGTGGACCAGGATGATGAGGACAAGGAGGATGACGAGGCCAGAAATGAAACCATGCCCGCCAGCCAGGAGGTAGTTATCACCCTGGAGTCAGCACCCCCATCCCAGGATGTCTCCCAGGGCTCGGACAAGGCCAGAGAAGGCATTTCAAGTGATTTCCATAACTTTCCCTATCTATGGGTGTGTCCAGACTACCTAGTTTTGTCGACAAAAGTGGACTTTTGTCGACAAAACTATACCGGCGTCTACACTACCGCTGAGTTCTGTCGACATAACGTCGACAGAACTCAGCAGTTTTGTCGACGCTGGTATACCTCATTTTACGAGGCATAACACCTTCTGTCGACAGAAGTCTGTCGACAGAAGGTGTTATTGCCTGTAACATTGCGTCCAGACTACGGAGTTCTGTCGACAAAGCAGCTTGCTTTGTCGACAGAACTCAATGTGTCTGGACGCTATTTGTCGACGGAACTTTTGTCGACAGTATCTGTCGACAAAACTTCCGTCGACAAAACGCGGTAGTCTAGACGTACCCTACATGCAGGGGAGGCAACGGGCTGTGAAAGACTCCTCACTTGGCCTGGGGCTCGCACAGTAGCTCTGCACGTAGGAGCACATGAAGTGCCAGTCAGGAGTACTCAGCCATATGAGGAGGTCATGCAGGAACTGTTGCTCCTTCTTACAAGGATCCTGGACAAGTTGGCCTTGCTCCAGCCTCCATGGTGGGACACCTTCCCATGACAAGCCACCACTAAGGAGGCTGGGGACATGGAAACACACAACAGTGCCCCACAAAGCACAGGGTCATGCCCACACTCAGGCAGCTTCTGCTTCCAGTCAAGCGCAGCGAGGCAGAGGACAGTGATCCCTTGCATGGGAACCTGCTGGGGGGAGGAAGGGGAGAGGACCCCAGTTCCAGCCTCCCCAGCAAGTGGCCTCTTCTGCTCACACACACCTCCCTGAACACCCTCCTTCCTCTCCTCCAGCAGCCAGGAATAGAAGTTCTCTCTCTGCAGGATGCCACCACTGCTGGACCTGGAGTGTGTGTGGCACAGAGGGAAGGCAAGCCACCCCACTCCTCCCTCCCACCCCCAGGCACCCTTGCTTGCTTGTCCCTGGAACATGGGGGTAGCAAGACTCCCTTAGATTTCCGGGCCCCTGCAGGAAAGTGCCCACTGTATAGGCAACAGATGGCCTTGCTCAAAGCATACTGCCATCGTCTGAACCGAGACCTTCGGTGTCGGCTCAGAGATTAGGGTTAGGCTTCATGCACGCTGTCTCCTAGCAAGACTGCCCTTGTAACTTGTTTTCACAGCTGTTAGCATGGCGCATCCACCACCTCCCGCACCATCCTCCTGACTCCAGAAACCCGCAGGTGAGGGCAATCCCATGTTGACCTAGTGCAGGAACACCTCAAGTGCCTGCATATTCTCCAACACAGTTTTGAGCAGGAACAGCAGGGGCAGGCTGGCAATCTGGAGTAGTGTCGTGCTGACTGGAAGCTGTGGCACGCCATCTGGGACCAGCTGTCCTGGCAGCGCAAGACCATGTGCATGGCTTTTCACCACCACTGTGGAATGCCTGGTCACTGTCATTGAGTGGTCCAGCAGGCACCCACCACCTGTTCCCCCCAAAGTCCATCTAGCACCTGCATTTGCCCCGCCCCCGGACCCCCGAGGGCTGTGCATATGAGGCTGTGGGACCTTTCAGGCAGCCAAGCAATCCCAACACACCCAAGGCAGATGCCACTCCCAGACCCATCTCCCTCCCTGAGTGCTTCATCCCCCCCTTTCTGCCCCTCTTCCTCCCTCTCAGGTTCTTTCACCAGTCTCTCCCATTATATATTCCCCAAATAAAAATTACTGAGTTTATTGTTTCAAATAAAACGTCTGGTTTATTTTATCTGCAGGGGAGGTGGAAGGCGGGAAGGGAGGGCAGAGAGAGGAAAGGCATACGGGGCAATGCAGAAGCCCCTTGTGGGGAAGCCCATGGGAGAGTCTCACAGCTGGCCTTAGCTAAAACTCTCCCTCAGGGCCTCCTGGATGAGCACAGCCCCCGTGCACAGCTGCTCAAAAGCGCTGGTGAGCTGTTAAGCCTCTGCCCCCCACTGTGGCAGGAAAGTCCCCCCCTTTATTTTCAAAGAAGTTGTGGAGCACACAGCAAGGCACTACCACCTAGGGGATATTCCAGTCACCAATGTCTAGGCAGGTGAGGAGGATCCGAAACCTCCCCTTGAGGCAGCTGAAGGCACCCTCCACAATGATGCGGCACCTTTGGAGTCTGTTACTGAAGTGTTCTTTCATGGGGTCCAGGTGTCCCATGTAGGGCTTCATTAGCCAGGGGAGCAAGGCATAGGCTGTGTCATCCACAATGCAGATGGGCATGTCCACCTCCCGAACCCTGATTGGGGAAAAAAGTGCATTCTCTGGAAGAGGCTGGAGTTCCTGAATACATGGATTTTGTGTGCCTTCCGTGACCAACTGACGTAACTGTGAACTGGCCCTGGTGATCCACAAGGGCCTACAGGACCACGGAAAAGTACCCCTTCATATTGATGAAGTCTGAGGCCTAGTGGTCAGGGTCCAGGATGGGGATGTTGGTGCCATCAATGGCCCTCATAGTTGGGGAAGCCCATGCTGGCAAAGCTAGTGATTATAAGCTCCACATTGCCCAGGGTGATGATTCTGCACAGCAGGATGACATTGATGGCCTTCATCACCTGTAGAATCATAAAAACATGGAATCACAGGGTTGCTAGAACCCTCGGGAGTTCCCCGAGTCCAAGCCCCTCTCACAGCAGGATCAAACCCAACTAAACCATCTCCGCCATGGCTTTGTGAAGCTGTGACTGAAAAACTGCCAGGGAGGAAGATTCCCCCCCCTTCCCTCTGGAAACCAATCTAGTAGTTCACCACCCTCCTAGGACAATAGCAAGAGAGTCAAACCTGCATGTGCATGGCCCCAGTGATTGATCTCCTCATGCCGAACTGGTTCCCCTTGGAGCGGTAGCTGTCTGGCATGGCGAGCTTCCAAAGTGCAATGGCAACATGCTTCTGGAGGGGGATGGCACATCGCATATGGGTGTCCTGTCACCAGAGGGCAGGGGTGAGCCACTTGCAGAGCTCCAGGAAGGTGTTCTCCAGAAGTCCTGGAGCCACTACTGGTCGTCCCACTGCTCCGTTACGATCCAATCCCAGCAATCAGAACTGGTCACCTGGTGCCAAAAGCAGCAGTGCATGGTGTGCAGGAGAGGATGGAAGGGACTATGGGGCACAAGGAGCACCTGAGATGGGGTGAGGAGATGCCCCATTCTGAGCTGGTAATCGGGGTACCTGAAGTGCCATGAGGACAGCCTGCATAAATTCACCAGGAGTTGCAGCAGGAGGTCTGAGAGCAGTGACTGCTTTGCAGCATGTCCAGTTCCATAGTGGAAATGCTGTGGCATCCACAAGGGCAATCAGAGCCCACGGTATGAGTTTGCTGTCCCTCAATGAGGTAGGCAATGGAAAAGAGTCTGAGACAGGGCTGTAGAGGGGAGCCCCTTTAAGCATGAGCCACAGGAAGTGACTGCTCTCCTGATGCCCTGCCCAGAGTGCTTCCAGGGGGCCTTAAATGTGATTCAGGCTGCAATCAGTGTGGATGCGCAATTTCATATAAATCTGCGCTATTTCTATAAGGATTTGTAGTGTGGATGTGCTATTTTGAAATAGTTATTTTGGGAGTTATTATTTCAAAATACCTTATAGTGTAGACATAGCCATGTAGAGTAGCTTATTTATTAAATTAAAATATATATGAAAATACAGAGTTGGCACATAGTAGTGAAATGCCAAGAACTGTGTATGTATTTTAAATTAAAATTGTCAATTTATTATTCCCCTTGCATAGTTACTTAATTTTCTACTTTTACATTTTTATCTGCCTTTAATAGGAAACAGAAAAATTCATGTGTGCAAGCAAGGTCATAACAATCAATATAGATAATATTTTATTGCACATTATAAGGGAAAATGAATTACTCCATATGTCCAGTTGCCTAATATATTTCAGATCAGTAAATCCTAATGCTGTATTCAACTAATAGTTAGAGTCTGTATAATGATATAACTGATTTCATACAATGTAATTACATGGAACAAAGAGAAATGTTTGTGGATTAGAACAACACATATTTCTCTGTCAGCAAAAATCAGAATGTATTCTGGGTAAACAGTATTGCAAATATATTTTTAGAAGCAAATATATTTTCATATTAATTACCTGTGGGAACCACTCTGATTCATCCAGTGCCTTAAGGAATGTCATTTCAGAATCTGTAGGAATAGTACTGGGAACACAAGCCCTCATCAGTTTTTTAAAACTAGTTTTCACCTGTCGGATGTCACTGAACTCAACAGCAACAAATTCACAATTCAGAGCAAAATCAAGTTTGAAGCCCTGTGGATGAATAAAACCGACACATTAATCACTAGAGAAGCATACTCTTCATCCAAAGTATCCATTTGAAAAGAGATGCTTTCAAAAACACTTTAATGCTAAGAACTTCCAAATACATTTTATATTTCATTTTTGCATAATAATCTGCTTAGTATAAAATGATACTGACAACATCTTTCCAAATGATCCCCAAACATACTACCCTATCCACCATAAAAATGAATGTTAAATACTTCTATTTTACGTGGATAACAGAATAAAGTTGGCATTTAGTAGACCTTCCTAACTCTTTGGAAATGACACTGGACTTCTATGAACAGTTACAGTATCATTATTATTTGATAAATATGAACTCAAGAGCTTGATGCTTAATTCTTAAGTAATTGATCCAATCTGAGTGGGGAATATTTTTTATTTATTAAGTTCAGGAACTTTGAAGGTATTGACTTAAGTTAACAAAAACAAGGGAATTTAAAGTAGATGGTTGTCTGTTAGAAATGATATGTCTAGATATTCTAATGGATGGCATGTAAGATTATCTACTCTTAGACCTAAACTGTGGACTAATTAAGCATAGGGTTGGGGAGTGAAATATATTGGTAAGAAGTATGTCTTATTATTTATTTCCTCCAACATCAGCTATTTTGAAACAACCTTTTTAAACAAAAGATACAATTTCTCTTGTACTAAATCAAACCTCTTGAATAAAGTACGAAGAACTAAAAATGGATTCCGGGTGGGAGGGAGGGGGGAGGAATTAACAGAAAAGTTACAGGCAGCTAACACATCTAAATAGCCATTGCAAGATGAATCAGCTGCACCTATACAAAGCTTAACTCAACATACAGCAGAACTGAGAAAATATCTGATAGTCAGAATTGATACAAATTCAGAAGATATATGTGGCTTTTACAGAGTGATGTCTGGTATAAATTACACATACCATAGTTAGAAAAAACAATGAGGAATCCTGTGGCACCTTAAAGACTGTAAGCCCATGTCCACATAGCAAGCAGTTATTTCGACATAATGTTGACATGATGTCAAGCTGAAGGACTTTTTACTCCGTCTCCTGTAACCCTCATTGTACGAGGAGTAAGGGAAGTCAGAGGAAGAGTGCCCTTCCTTGGACTTCCTGCTGTGTAGACAGCGCCAAAGCTGAAGAAAGCTATTTCAACTTAAGCTACGCAATTGATGTAGCCCAAGTTGTGTAGCTTATTTCGGCTTTAGCCCTACTGTGTAGACGTGCCCTAACAGATTTATTTGGGCATAAACTTTCACGGGTAAAAAACACTTCAGATGCAAATGACAAAGTGGTTTTTACCCATGAAAGTTTATGCCCAAATAAATGTTAGTCTTCATGGTGCCTGGTTTGTGTAAGCAGGGGATGATGTAAGCAGGGGCTGAACTGCTGCTTGCTATAAGCCAGCTAAAAGGAGGAGTGGGTGTGCCCATTACAATTGTTTAGCTCTGCAAGGTAATTAACTGTTAACTGTTGATATGTAAATACAGCTCAGGAGAGAATACGAGGTGTGGCTATGTAAATCCCATTCAGCCAGGACTGATGGAGGAACAGTGTTGGAATGGAATGTGGAGAATTGTATATAATTTGGGACTGTTGTGGGGATCACTAATCATGCTACCCCTAAATGCGGGAACTGTAAAACATGCCACCAGTGCTTGTAGGAAAGACATCACCATCGTGGTAAGAGGTCTCGAAAGAACAAGCCTCCCCCCTTCCAGAATTGAGTGGACTGAGCTTGGGGAAAGGGTTAAAGGGCTTGAGTCAGCCTACTTCACACCTGGCTATAAGACTGGCCCAGCCTGGACCTTTCCTCCTTTGTTTTAAGGACAGACCTAAATCAGATTTCCTGAGGAGTCTTTTCTGGGGAATCCGTCAAATCCTGGGGGTCTGGGTGGTCCCTGTCCCCCGACTGTCTTGTGACTGATTCTCAGCTTTCCATAAACTAAACTGGGGTTTTCCTCACTTCGGCAACGTGCAGCCCTGTGCTCATTTTGACCACACCGATAGCAGAACGATCCTCTTCTCCTTCGGCTGGGTGGGATGGCAGCTCCAGGCGCTGACTTCTGCATCACCACAGCCTGAGGTTCCTCATCCCTGCAAATCCTTGCTTGGTCAATGGCTCTCTGCAACTCAGCAATCCATTCTGTCAGGACTTTAATTTATTGGGCAAAGTCTCCTCTGGTGTTCACCATCAGCACTGTTTGTTGGGGTGCAGTGCTGGTTGGCTTAGTCATCTGGGCCTCCCAAAGCCCACTGGCAGCCTGCCCTTCTTCCTCCTCTCTGACCTCCTTTATCAGTTGGAAGTATGTAGGGGGGTGTTCCTGTCGTTCTCTTAGCTGGAGGTGTAGTAGAATCAGGCTGTAATATGGAGTTCCTCTTACAATTTGAGCCAATCTGGTTTGGTCCATCTGCTCATCAGTCACTACTCCCCTAATGACAGCTCTCTGTAGCAGCCTCTCCAACCTCTGTATATAGGCTGAGACTTTCTCTCCCCAGTGCTGCTTAGCATTGAGAAAGTTACAGAAACTGTCTTCAGGACCCTCCATGCTCCCAAAGGTGTGAGTGAGGGCCTCTAGGCAGTCCTTTACACTGACCTCAGGGTTAGTGAGCTTCAAGGTGCGAATCACATCTAAAGCTGGGCCCCGGAGACTGTCTACTAAACATCTTCGTTTTTCTCTGTCTGGCACAGCCCAATGCTCTAGCATTTCAGTGGTGTGTTCCAGCCAGGGTTCAAACTCCTCTTCCCCAGGGAATAATCTTAACTTACAATAGGAGCTTGCCATAGCATGGGATAGCACACATTTCTCTAAGATTTGCCCCAGGACTTTTGCCCAATCATCTGCTGAGGTGGCTGCCTCTGAGCTACAGGCTTCTGAGCCAGGACCCAACAAACCTGACAGACAAGCCATGATACAAACAGTAATTTCCTCAAATACAAATCACAATTATTTCCCACAACTGCAAGTCACTCAACATGTGCTTGCGAGGGGTACTGACCCAGTGTATCCCGGACGAGCCCCCAAAATGTAACCCTTCTGCCGGGTAGGCCTGGCAGTAACCAGGGCTGGGTTCAATATCTTGGGGTCCATCTCACATAGAACCAGCTCAAGCCCCCACCCAGTAATCTGGGAAATTCACGCACCCCTGGGCGCCTCTGAGAGGCAATGCTTCCCCACTCGCAAGCACTGAGTCTGTGTGTAGGAAAGAAACATTTAATGAAACGGAGAGAGAAGTCATACGGCATTAACTTGGGGAAAACACCACAAACAGAGTT